TACAATGTTCTTTCGAGCTAGATACCTAATATATAATACACTAATCGATTCTGTAAAGTTCGGGTAAAAGTTGATCGTGCGTTAAAAACTTCGCGGTACGCCATCGACACAAAACTGAAAAATGCGATCCAAGTGTAATGCGTGCGTTTGAAAAACATCTAACGTCAAAATGTTATTATGTACGCAACACGTGTTACTGTGCCGAACTGTGCGATCGCGTTCGTCATCGATCACCATCGAAACGTCGAATATCGCGACGGTCAAGACGAACTGCGTACGAAATTGGACTGCGCAAAAACGAGCACGTGCTTTCTAGTTATAATTGCCGATTAGGTCCGAAAAGGAGTGCTTGAAACGCTGCGCGGTACAAACGAGTTATTTTTATGCGCTTCTCGAAGAAGATAAGGTGAAATGACGTCCAAATGAACAACGGGCAGTACTACGAAATGTAATAACAATACGCGCGTGATGTGTCGGTGTATCCTAACCCAATCCGTTTTGCCGTCTGTTGCGACGGCGTCGTCATGCAAATAATTTTTCTCCAGCTACGCGAGTACGCAGAACGTGGGCACGTGAATCGGGCCCCGTTGCCAAAATCGAGAAAGCGAAAGAACCGAGTGAAAAACAAGAATAAAACGCTAACCCAACCCGTTCACAACGGATCGCGAACGAATCGGAAACCTGTCCATAATGGAAACGGTGTAGGGGTCTACAGTCCTGTCACAAACTGTCGTAATACGTTTTTAAAACGGACCTCCTACGAGGCAAAACGTCGGGACCATAAAATGGCAATATCTTTTTCGGCAGAACCACTATAGTTTTCAACCGTTATTTCAAAATGTTGAGTTATTAGCGTTTTCTAGAATTCAAGCGTGAAATAAAACGAAAAATATGTTTATGAATTAATAATAAGTACGTATACTCGTATGGGTGTACCTTAAAATGATTTTTGCATTGGAACTATACTCATGTACATTCAACGTTGAATTTTTTTTGAACATTCATCGAAAAGTTTTCTATAACTGAAAAATCCGCCAGCATTTCCGTTTTAAAGAACATGATCCGTTGGTATAATATTATTATTATTATATCGGATATACCGGAGACCTGTCTAAAACGGAATGTATGTTGGTTATTAATTCGTATGTCGTTGACAGTTTTTTCACTGTACAATTTATATGGAAAATAATAGTTATGAAAATAATCATAACAATAAAAATCACTTTGAAATCTTGCGACGAGAGATCAACACGTATCAACTTGTGAATAGAATTATTAACACCGAGTAATGTATATGTTTTATATACGATGAGATATTAACATGATGTCTGTGAATGCGTTTAAAATAAACCTTTGGTTTTTTCTTGCCAACTTTTTCGTAATAACCGTTAGGTCCGAAACGATTTTTGGCAGTGTCATATTATCGTCGCAATCAACTGGTACGTACGCGCATACACGACAACGCCTAAAAGTGATTAATAAAAAAAAAAAAAAACGAAAAAAAATGAAAATATACATATGTACACGGTGTTGGTATATCATGATTCACGCATGTGCTCTTTTTCGGTCGTAGGCAAACAAAATTCTTATATTAATCAAATCGCCCTAATTCAATTCCGTTGATTTATATGCGCATACGTGGCCGTCGTATAATATAATATAATGCATTTACATTTATGCATGTTGTGTGTGTGGGTGTGTGTTAGGAAATAATAAATTTAGGAAATTCATCGGACGCGTTAAACGACATTATATGCAACTGCTATTCGTGCAGGCAATGGGGAGGGAGGCAAAGAGAAAAGTCGTAACATGTTTGATACGCTCAAATAGGTATTGCGTACCGGTTAGAAGTCCGAGAGGGGAAAGAGATTCGGAAAACTTAACCTAACGACAATTTTTTTTTTTTATAACAAATGCGTACATCAAATTGTTTTCGCCGGGACTCGGTGCCTGTGTTTTCATTGTATTTTAAACATTTATTGATATCATTGAATATGGGTTATTGTTTACACGAAAAATCATAATTTTCATGGAAATCAAAACGTTTTAAACTTAACAATCGCGAATCTCTTGAAAACCTAAACCTTAAAATAAGCGCGTTACGTCATTATTACTCGTATTACATCATGCACTCAATTGTTGATAGCTTGTTACTGGTATTTTCACGTTCACGTCTCGGTTTTTGTTTCATGAAAACTACAATATAAAAATATCACAAATTATTACAATTTTCTTTATTCGTTATTAATTTAAGATCGAACGAAAAACAACATACTTTTACATGTTCCCATAATTTTTATTGAGTACCGTACCCCATATTTTCCCGTCTTCGAACGCACACGTATGCGCACGTATTTTTTATTGGTCTTAGCACATACTATTCACGAGCCCTGATTATCGCAGAGCGCGTTGTGAATCGTAGTTTTAAATTTAAGAAAACTATATGTCTAATTCACAAACGATTTTTTTTCAACATTGAGCAAAAACTTTCGTTATTTCATAGTTTATTATTATATTATAACTAGAAATTATTACATAAAATAATCATATAAATATAAATTTGTATTAAATACTGTACTCTGGGCCACGGCCAGTTCTGTTGAAATAAATAAATGAATAATGGAAGATCACAGTGTGATGGTGGTTTACCGTTGGACATGACGTGTTCCTACGCTGTGTTTAATCACTAACTGTAAGCAACTGATACATTAAAAAACTATTTGATTCCATAATAGGATATGTAAATATAGGCCGAAACATAGAACGGATGTAGCAATCTCCAAATTTGAACGCCAACAGTAGTACAATAGTATTGAAAATCAATTTATCGATACATTTCGTCGAACAAACTCTAAACAGTTCAATCGCTGATCGGTACACGTTTTGTTATACCTGATGTACTGTTCAGTCACTTCCGTCGAGGTTTTGTTATCCAGTCTTCGAGTTGATCTATATAGGTACACGTTGATGTCTGCATCGACACCAAGCATTTTTATGTGCACCCTCCGCGGTCCGCGCGTGTACGCGTTGACCTAGAAAACGAGCATGCCAAAAACGTATTCGTGTGCCAGATGTCGGACGCCCATTAAACAATCAGTTCTCGCGAACGAAGATCGTAATAATGAAGAAAAAAAAAAAAACTTATAAAAAAAAGTAAAAAACAATTTTTTTTTTCAAACTAGTCGAGATTTGAACACCAACAGCGTAAACACCAGCAACACATCTACGTTATCGTATTAAATTTTGATTATTACTATCACTACTATTTCTCTTCGGTCTCGATTCACCCTCCCCAATTCGTTTCGCGTTTCTCTTGTTCCTCCCCTATATGTACACTTCGTATGAATCAATCTATGAACGTCCATTCCATCTTCTCTCGACTTGCCCCCCTTTCTTTCCCATCTCCGTGCTACGATTCGTTCCGAACGTTCTTCTCTAGTTCACTCTTCTCCCGGTGTACGATTCCACTAACTAAACTGCCTTTCCTCAACAGTCGTATCCATCATTATCCGTTCCATGTTCAACGGCAGCTTCCATGTTAAAGTGTTAAAAAAAAAAAAAGTAGTGTGGCACGAATTCACATGTTTTATTTTCAACAGTTAAGACGTAATGTCGAACGATGAAAGTGGTAAACACAATTTAACGGATTTAATTATTGATACAACACCAAAACGTTTTACTGGTTTTCTAACGCGTTCCATTATCGCTGTTGTAGTAACAAACGCGAATGTTGTTCGACGTTCAATCAATCGTAGCACTAGATATCCTTGGATACGGGTTATCGTACTCGAAATGGAGCGTATTATATAATTGAATTCGATAAATATAAATGTTGTACGCAAACTGTTTGTCCAGTTCGCGTACGAAGAAACCACGGTCATTGTACACCGCAGTTTCACGTTGGATGAAACGTGCTTAAGATTTTCTTACCCGTTTATCAACGCTAAAACAATAATAAATACCACCTTTTACACGTGGTCGGGCTAAAATTTCGTGTAACGGCGCAAGGGTACGCAATTTAACACCATCCGTGAGTTGTGATCCGCCCCGTATTACAGTTACCTTCTCGAAGTTACACCACACCACCTAGCTTCGTCGTCGAAAACTAGTGCCACCGCGAAATGTTAATACTTTGGTTTTAGAAAAAAAATATAGGAGCGTCTCTTAACAATCGCGACCGACGACAGTAGCGATTCGTTTACATTCAATTCTACAGATACACTATTATTATCTGTAATCATAGATCATACTTGGCAGAGTAATTCAGTAGACACTTAGACGAAATCATAAGTAAGGTATTCGTAATAAACAAACTTTGTTAACATTAAAGGAATTGCAAGCCATGGTTTTCTGTGTCTGTCTTTTGCAGGTACAACGTAAAGTTAACATGACGTGAACCGCCTTTTTCTTTTATACCGTCTCCGAAGTTTCATAAAAAAGTTATTTAACAAATCGGAGACTAAGTAATCGACAAATGTAAACTGTCTGCTACGTAAAGTACAAAATGTATATAGTTATTTATGAAATTTATAAACACTTTTATGTTTAATAATCAATGATTATTCCTGATTACAATTATACCACTTAACAACGAAACTATCACATAATTTACTCGTAGGGTAACTAACAAATTGCATAACATTGCGTCGGATCGCACGTAAAATATATTTTCCCATCTGAATATTACCGTTCGTCTGCAACGTTACGTTTGACTCTCAGTCTCTAAACGATAAACAAACAAATGTATATTTATAGTGATGTGATGATAATTATTTCAATGAACACGTTTCGTTTTACGTTTACGATGCGTCTAAGATGTAATGAAACGATACTTGTGTGGTTTTGTCATAAAAATTACAAACTGTAATTAAAACGTGAATGATAACAAATAAATAAAATATTAACATAATAAAATAATAGTAATAATAATAATAATAATAATAATAATAATAGTAATAAATAAATAATACAAAACAGTTCAGTAATAAAACGTTACGACGGATATACGCTTATATATATATATATATATATAAATATATAAATATAGTTAAAAAAAAAATAATATTATAATATGGTTTTTAAAAATATATTGGTGAATGAAAAAAATATAATATGATATCCGATAACAATTAAATGGTCGCATGCAATCATAATTCGTACAAAATAGTGATCAATGTCGAATAAAAAAAATAAAAAAAAAATACCCTTATTATAACGCACCGAGTATACAATGTGCGTAGAACATATTTTTGCGGCTGTGCGAAATCTTCCGCGACCGTATACTATACGAATACAATAGTAATAATGTCGATAACAGCAACGTGTACCACGGGCGTAAACTTAGCACTACGTAATAGAATAATATGATTGTAAAAATATGATATTTATCGTCCCTGCGCGGACGTTTAGATCCGTGGGGTGGACTGTTGTGCGTGTGTGCGTTTGTCGCGATGCCGTCGGTGTTTGGAATCGGCTTGGACGGCGGAAGAGTGTCGGAGAGAAACGGAAAACACGTGCGTTCGACGGGAAACGTTCAAGAGAAAAATGGTAGGAAAGTGTGACGAACTTACGGTTTCGATCGGAAATCGGAAAAGAAGAAAAAATGAAATGGCGGTTAGGTTGATGGTTTTCAGTCGGTAGCCTTCGCGGGTCCGATACCGACTGAGAACATAAAAACTCGAGCGCAGCACGAGCCGGTCGGGGGTCGGTAGAGCCGTTCGGGGTGCGACGGCGCGGTCCCGGCCGATCGCCAAACACCCCGACTGCCAAGGGACGTTATTGCGACCGAAGGAAAAACGGGTAACGGGTAGGGCGTCGGACGGGATGTGGCGGGATCGATCCGGGCAATCGATCCGATCAGAGTTTCGCGATCAACGCGTGCGTCGGTGGGATTCGACGGATCCGTCACAGACGGTTCCGCGGTGATATTTTCGATTTTTCGTTTACACACCTCTGTCGATCGTCCGGAGACATCGACTGCGGGACGAAACACGCGCAAAACGCTTATCACGCGCACCCGGTCGTTACGCGTGCGCGATCACATGTTTATTTTTAGGTAACTATTCACTATACTCGTACAAGGTAAATAATACTAATACATAATAATTATAATATATTATTGTCGTAACGTCGGTGTAACAATACGGTTCATTATTATATCGACGGTGTGTGCGTGTCAAGCGACTTTATCCGAGTCCATAACTGCTAACTCGGATAACTTAGTAGTATTATGGAAGGACGGAAATGAAACGCTCGCGACCGCTGTACACGTTATCAACATATACCTTGGTCGTAGTACTGGTGGCTAAGGTCCGGCGGTCCTCCGCCCCCGCCGCCGATCAGGTCTTTGTTGAAACCGTACAAGTCGTCCACGCACGACGCGTATACGCCACCGCCCCCCATAACGCCGCCACCGCCGCCCACGTGCGCGCCGGCCACCGGATAGTGGAAGGTGGCCACGGACGCGGCCGTCGTGGTGGCCGGTCGCTGGTGATACGCGGACGTCGGCCGATCGGCCTGCACGGCCACCGGGGCCACGGCGGCCGGCACGTAGCCACCGTTGAACATGGCGTCTTTGAGTATCGGCGGCTCGGCGGCCACATGGTGGTGCTGGCGGTACGGGTCGTTGGTGTACAGTTCCGCCACGTATTGTTCTCGGTGCTGCTGTTGCTGCTGCTGCTGCTGGTGTAGTTGATGGGACGGCTGCTGCTGCTGGTGCTGGTGGTGAGACGGCTGCTGTTGGTGGTGGTGCTGAAGGTGCTGGTGGTGCTGACGGTGTTGGTTCGGCATACGTCTGGTGCAAGGGTGCGCCGTGAGCATTTTCATCAGTTCGTTTCGCTGCGACTCCAGCTCTTGGATCTGCGTCTTAAGATCGTAGTTTTTTGTTTCCAGCACGCTGGACTCCTGTAAAACGTACACGCAGATCATTAGAAATTAGGTTTTTATACGCTTGTGCTCGGGTTAAGAAAACAGTAAAGTGAAACCGAATGATATATGGGAAAAACGCCGTTTCCCGGCACGACCCATAACCGTATGCCGGTAGATTTAGCCGTCAGTGCCGAGTTACAGTAAAAAAATAAATAAGATTGTTGTTTTCAAACTCAAGGTTTCGTGACTTGATCAATCTAATTTTGTTTGTTTCGGCAAAATCTAAAATTTATAATCGACCACACGCTGGATTTCGGCAAGGGCCAGGATAAAAGGAGCTAATACGAATTCATATCAGTTGTAAAAGCAGTTACCCCTACCACGACATTATATCTTGTATGTATTTATCATCGCACACACAAATCGTGTTCATACGGTCCATCAGATTTACGTTATACTTAATATATGATCACAGACTAATAATGATTTGTTGCCGCGTGGTCCGAGAGCGTTTCAGTGTTGCAGGTATTGAACGCTCGGGGTTCTTTGAGCGAGACCACGCAATTCTAATATTCACCGAAAACGATAATTTTTTCAGCGCTACGTGCACCGAATACCGAGGGTTGCAAAAATACGTCACTACACTGAAATCTAACCAAATGTTAACCCGTATAATGACGATTGAACTCGCATTGTGTTCGTATAGTTGAAATCCGTTTTCGACCTTTTGATCGCGCGTAGTACGTCGTAAAATTGTAATATCCATTTGGACAAAGTTTTCGGCATACCGTATTCAGAACGTAACATCGGTTTCCATTCCAATCCAGCATGTTTACAGAACCGCAGAACGTCGAAAATCACCAAACGCTTGCGGTGCACGGACATTTATTATCGAGATTTTGAAACCAAAAAAATAACCCGTTCTCTTGAAACATGCATTACGAGCACAAATACCTGCCTGTACTGCCGTACACACGATCGTTCGGCGAACAGTTTCCAGACTTCAATACCGTACCATTAAGACCAGTGTAATACCAGGATAACAGACGTATCGTACGCACAGGATATTATTATCATCGTATACCGCGTTTACCGGGGCCCGCGGTCGAATCGTTTAAGAAACGCACGAAAAACACCGTTTAGCTCGCTACCGAGGTCCACGTGGAAAAAAAAAATACTATCCGATGTACCAGCTATTGCACCGGTCATACGAGATCTCGAAATAATGCAACAACACTGGACCTGGTGGCCGTAGCAACGCGTCGTTTTCATCCCCGACCACGATGAATACGTATTGATATGATTTTGTGTAACGAGTTCATAACACGACGACTGAACCTCGTTCAGCGTCCGCATGGTTTAGGCCTTCAACGATTATTACCGCGCACAGCTGGTGTACAATTACCCGGCCGAGAGACTGCGTTCACTTCCCGAGGCACGGGCACGTGTACAGAAATCACTGCAATAACAGTAACGGCGAGTAACTATAATTTGGGGGGGAGGGGATCATTTTTTCGAAAGGTAAAATGATAATGCGGAATTTAAATAATAACAATGGGAAGCCTTATTGATTATTGTTAATTTTTAAAATTAAAAGACAATCGTTATATTGCAAATATCAACTAACGCGCGTTTCACGACCAACAGGACAGCTGCGGTCGGTGCCCGTCTTGAAACAACTGTTGATACAAAAATAACATCAAATCGAGCGTTGGATTGATACGGCCGACAACAGCACTGTACCATTACGCAGCGATCCGCCTATTCTAATAGCGTTGTACGGGTATTAATAGTATGTAATATTATAAATAGACACTAACTGGTTTGACAAAACGATACGTGTGTGCTTACATTATCTTACGGTGGGTTTAACGAACTCCGACGTAACGTAAGTTACCTGTTTTATCAGGAGAACGTATTTCCGAGTAAAAACGCTATCCTCTCCCAGTCATACCAGTATACCGGCTCGGTGGAAGTCCTTCGATTACGAGAGTCGCACGTGCAAACGTCGTTTTCGGTCGTCCACGGAATCGTCGAACGGGAAAAATATAAAAAAATAAACAACAAGACTAAACGAAGTGAAAACGGATCTAATCGGATACGTTTCGCCGCGGCTTGCGCGTTCGCGCTTATCGTGCACGCACCCGTCAAATATTGTTCAACGGCAAATAATATTAATTTCTAGACCGTTCTGGAAACGCGTACAGAAAGCGCAGCGCAAATATAAACCTAAGACAAATATTTGAACTCGCACCGTTCACACGCGTAGACGGAGGACATTTTTTTTATTTATTTCTTTATCCCCGTTCACGATTTCCAACGAACAGGCGCGTTAACGTGTGCGGTAGAAATTACAAAGTTCCCGTCCGAACCCAAAACGTTCTGACCGGGAAAACCGCGAACGACGGGGGACGGATTTTTTTTTTTTTTTGATTTTCTTTCATCGCGTTTCACGTGGGTCTCGAGGGGTTAGAAAGAACGGGTGCCCCGATCATCGTCCGTCCGAGAGCGTTCGAGATTTTGATGATGCGGACTTCGGCGGGAATGTCCTCCGGCGGTGCACCGGAAACCGACCGCGCGGCCACACACTTGAACCGCGGTCACCGAACCACTCGAACGGACCGCGACCGAAACGCGTGAGCAGACCGAGAAAACGAACGTTTTGACGCGAAGGAAAATGTCCCCGCGGGCAACGACGCGTTGCGCAACACGTAGACGAACGCTTGGTTCACGGACCCGGTAGGTGACACAGGCGTTGGCCTTATTGTCAGTGGCGGATTAGGGGACAGGCTAAAAGGCTTATAGCCTAGGCCTTTTTTTTTTTTATAGGATTAAGTGTTATTATTGACTTATTAGGTATATTAATTTTAATATATTTGTTATATAAACACGAATAAAAATAATTTTAAAAAATTATAATAATATATTAATATGTACATTGCATGATGCGTACCTATAGGCCATAGTGAGAATATTACAATTACTGTTACATTTTGAAAATATTTTATTTGTTATAAAATAATTACAGTTAGTTACTAGTTATTATTAGTAACTTATTAGTACCTATGTACTCATTGGGAACATCCGACTATCCGAGTATAGGTATTTTCATATCTGGCTATTTATATTTTCGTTATGTGACTGTATAAGCATTGTTTATTTGTACTGGTAATAATGGTATCTGAAGTAAAATAACAGACATGAAATATTTTCATTTTTTAGAAGTTTTCTATTTTAAATATTTAATATTCAATATTTTTTTTTTTGATAAAAAAACTGAATAAAATTTGAAGAGAAGGGTTTAGATCAAATATTGTAGATTCCTTTGTAGATTGATGGGGGAGGGGGCAGATTGATTAAGTCTTGGGGGTGCCAAAACGCTAAATCCGCCACTGCTTATTGTTCCCACTGCGGTTTGTCCGTACACGTGTTCGCGCGCCACGCGCCGTATCTCAAAATAACAATCCGTACCGGCGACTGCGATAAAAAAAAAAAAAAAATATTATACTCGTTCCCCCCTCCCCCCCAGACCGTCCGTATACGGTGTCGGTAACGCGATTCAGTCGAATTTTTCAACGAAACCCAATAGGTGTCAACAGCATTGGTAACGATAAGATATGCGTGAAACGGTTGTTAAACGCGCGACTTACCCGTGGCACACGCGTTCGTTTTCACGTTTCTGTTCGGTTTACCGAACAGGTTAGCATATCACGATAAACGCGGACAAACGTTAATTTATGTTTTACCGTTCCGAAAAAGTTATGTTCGCGGTTCGTTATTTTATCGCTTTATTCGAAGTTTTTTGAAACCGTCGCCGAAGGTTAACTATTCCGGCCGTACGATTTTGAACGGCCACCAAATGTATTGTACCGAGTTTTAAATTTAACGACTCCGGTGCTAAGTGTACACTATTATAAATTAACGATTTCGTTAATTTATGAACGATAAAATACGTATGTGTTGACTTTAAGTCGTATACGCATTAAGCGATTGCAATGTTAATATTACACGAACGTGGCGGCGGAACGGTTTTATGTACAACGCACCTACCGGTTACGCTTTGTTTTCTTCCGCGTCATATTTTAAATGATATACTATTATTTCTTTTTAAACTCGTGGTTACCGTGTTTGGGTACAGCTGTAATATTAATATCTACGCACACATCTGCACTAACATAATCTAACCAAGCTCGCGGTAGTACGGTATAGCCGATATGCGATTGCTGTCGAGTGGGACACGTCAATCCACGTTTCGCACACATGTGTGTGTGTGTGTGTGTGTGTGTGTTTGTGTGTGTGTTACGTAGGCGGTGATCGCGGGAGGATGGTTAGGTTAATCCTACAAAAAAAAAGTCGAAACGATATTGCACGTTTGAAAACAAATCGCAGAATTTCGTGTACTTACGGAAAAACAAGAAATACAATTTTATTGTTCATGTAAAATGTTTAGTCGTTTTCGCATACGGAACGTATGACATCAAATGTAATTTAAATAATATCTCATTTTATTATACGTTTATATAACTATGCCTGTCGGTAACTAAAATCGTGTACAATACGACACACTTTGGGTGATACGAAATTTTATTAAATTATTTGTAATTTGTTCCCTATATTATGGTATTATTAATAATTTTACATTTTTTTTTTTTTTTATTAAATTATTTTACATATTTCTAAAACTTCACGATGTATTATCAGCAAAATCTAATATACTAACCATTTAAACCATGTTACTCGTTACTGTTAACGTTCGAAAGGGGAGTATGACAAAATCCTTAAGAGTGCAGTATGAAAAAGTATATATTTTAGCCTCCGGTGCCTGCTATAGGCGCTAACAGCGCAAACGTACAGAATACAACGGAGAATATTACGATTAAAAATATCAATTGTCACGGTAATCTTCGGGTGCGTGCGGACACAGCGGGGGCCACTTAGATCGGTTTCCTTGCTAAAAATATCTCGCCTCCCAATATTTCACAGAATCTTTCTCCTGTTCGCTCGTGGCAGGATCGACGTGTGCAATTTATCTCGCTTAAAAATCCGACAATCGGCATCCTCTTGCTGATACATCGTGTGCGTTTTATCTGTATTCTACGTGTACACACAGAGTTGAGAAAGTTGACGGGAACGATAGACTAGGATCGGCCAAGCGCAAATTGAGTTAACACGAAGAACTTTAAGCTACATCAGTTAGAATTAAAAAATCGTTCCTACTATAAGGTTTACGTTGATCCGAAGAAAAATCAATGAGTCAGAGTCATATGTTTTACAGTCAAGTGAACCGTACGAATATAATATTGTTTCTTTTTTTTTTTTTTTTTTGATTTCTTAGTAAAATTAATCGTTTTGTCGAATATTTATTACCTCTGCGGTATGCATATTCGTTCGTCCATCTCTAACGCATGTCAAACAATCGTTCATGTTATTCCGACTGTTTTCCATATCGACTCGAACAATTTAACGGCGGTCATGAAAAATAATCATTTTTTCCCCCCGCAAAAGTTCGATGGTCACGGAATCGCGAGCTACCGTTCGGTAAACACTAGAGTCGTACTAACAAACTGTGTTGCAAAACAATCGCTCTGTACACATACGCTTACGTACACTGCCACGTCCTCAATCTCATTTCCCCATCCTCCGTAGCCCTACGGATCACGTGCCACGTGCCCTGCACAGATAACCGAACGCGTACTGCGAAAGAATTCTCGAAGAAACGTATGTTTATGTATATTTATTTATACGTACCGTGTGCGCTGCTATCGGAGAGATTCTATTTTCGATCGCATCTCGATTCGGAGGCACGCATACACACGGTCGCGTAGGCGCTCGTTTGTGCAGCGCGACCGATAAACGGTATAACCATTCGAATTTGTGACCGTAGGTCGACATAAATTTCGCACGCGCGCTAAGCACACGATATTATGCGCGATGTTTATTGCGGGTATGAACACAATACACCGTGCACACATTGCGACTGCCACAACGACACGCAACGTACGCAATAAAATAATATAATATACTACGTAGGATTATTATGAAATAATGTTTCCACGGCTACTTATACCGGCCGGCGCACACGTGTGCCTCGGCGACAATGGACTTGGCGACCGGCCACGGTCGTCGCGTGTTGCACAGATAAGACGAAGACAATATAACAATAATAATACGAAGTGACACTGATATTATCGTCGTAGTCGTCGCGTCAAACGCGTACACGATCATCAATTATACACTTAACAATTACTAATAGTATATCCATAGGAGCGATTCGGGGTAAAGGCTAAGGGAGCGTATGTTCTTGTTTTTAAGTAGCAATAAATCCACCGATTAAAAAATTAAAAAAAAAAAAATAATAATAATTAAATAATTATGGAATTTTGAAGCCACAACATCGGTATACGTGCGAACATGTTGTTTAATAATTAATATCAATTTTCAGAATATTTCACGATAAATTATTTCAAGTATTCAATGTTAACGGTACCCTTGTCGTTGTGGGAAACGCCAAAAAATATTTTATGTTTTTGACAAATTTAAGGATCATACATTGATTCCGAGCAGTAGAACGTGAACGAATCAAATCAAATGACGGATAAATAATTATCGCAATATTTGTACCGATTGTTATCTCTATGGTAATAGAGTTGCAAAGCTGCAAAGTTCGAAAAAAGATTCTCATCCGAAAGTTGAAAAACGGTATCGCCTATTGAAAATGTACTATCACAAACTAAAATATATTACGATCGGAGTAAATATTTCCTCGGGGAATGCATTATTTCATTTATATTACCTCTAATAGGAATTCGTGAGGGAAGAAGGCGAAACCCTGCGGGTCTGTTCTATCATTGTAGATGATAACTTATGCTAAATTAGCGTACGTATTAGGTACTCACTTGCATCAGATTCGTAGTCTTTTCTCGTTTCTTCAACCGACACTTGGTGGCCGCTATCTTGTTACGTTCCCGCCTCCGTTTCCTCCGTTCTTCGTCTTCTGCCGTCAACTAATGCACAGAAAAACAACTATTAATCGTTATCACCCACACATACTGCTCGGGCGCGCGCGCACGCGTTACGCGAAACCTTATCACACGTATTCGTATTAAAATATTGTTGTCGTGCGTAATGTTTTTGGCGTTTTGTTTTTGTCGGTCAAAGACCGAGATCGCCGCAGCGGGACCTCTCAACGGATGACGATCGTGAGAAATCGAAAATCGCTACACCCATGCTCATATTTATACGTCGAGACCTTTTTTAATGTTATTGCGTTCAATACAATACGTATCTTTGAGGTTTTTCGTTTATTTAAATAAAAAGCCGTTCGTGATACAACAAAATTTATGTTGTAGTGAATAAGATTAAAATACATTAATTCAGTTGAGTATACACGAGTACCAATATCATTGCTGCAGAAAAATTTTGAATTATTTAAAATTATACATAAAAATGTATTAATACGCGTATGTACTACTTGTAGATTTGCCGTTTCGACGTTTGATTGGCGTATATTTTTATACTTTAAGTATTGGTACTTCTCGACGTTTCAACGGTAAATTCATGTTGATAATGTTCAAATGTATTGAAATCGATTTCGGTTCGTTTGTGTTCCGCGTCGATAAACGCGACGATAAACGAATTTTAACGAAACGACAACGTTTTTTTTTTTTTTTGTAAATCTTACGGATCTTTGAAGTGTTAACATTGCTTTACAACAACAGCTTTAATATTCGCCTTAATATATTCGTCCGCAGTCATCGGGAACATATTCGCTCCGCCTACAACAGGTGCGTGTCTATGCGCCCATTTCCATACCATATAATATACACACGCCGCGGCGTATGATTGAAAAGTATATGCACTATCGTCGGTTTGTAATATGTATGTTTAGGTAGGCGTCGACCGATATATTACGTGCGATGGACTCGCATACAACGTAGAGTACGCGTATTTTTCGTATAATTTAAACCGCGCGCGCACACACACACACGATAATACATGCAAACAATGTCGACGCGGTATGTAATCATAATATTCATTATGTATGCAGTGCTCGGATTTCGAGGGGACGCAGGGTGACCGCATACCTACCCTAAGTATATGCTTTCGAAAACCGTAGCATATCTCTACAGCAATAGGGCACTGTCCTACGTTTATCTGGCTGGGAGGGAGGCTGAAATAATTCAGGTTGAGCGTGATTCTCTTTTTACGTCGAGCAATAACGTTCGTCCTGCTCTTGATTTTCCGATTCGAGCGCGTACACTGACGCCGTATTTGACGTGACACCGCCACCGTGACGGTACACAGTCATTAAAATAATATTTATTTATCGCGCTCCGTACACGATACGCGCGAGCGCACAATCTTGCACGGTTGCTCCGCGAACGCGTGCCGATCGCATTTAAATAAACCTATGCATGTCATTCATCGAATAATTATATTGTGTGTTTCACGTCGACGGTCATCGTGTGTCGGTACGATTCACGTCCGTCGAATACATCTAAGGACTACGGTGAGTAAGAAAAAAAAAAAAAAATGATTAATTATCAGCACCGCGTGAGACTTGAATGTTGAACGCTGACGCCGTAGGACAGTATGACCTATGTGTACGGATCGTACATAAAAACGTATTATTAAAAAATTTACATACGACCGTCGACGCATGCATACGCTCTACATTCCACGGGTTCGGCGTCTTTACGGACGCCGTGTACATGTGTTGTCGTGGATTTATGTTCGTCGTTGTCGTTTTTTACCGGGAGAAAAGGGTCGATCGGCGGAAAAACGCGCGAATAACGAGAGAGAAAGGACGGTGGATAGTGTCAAGATATGTATAAAGAAAATGAAAAATAGAAAGGAAAACGATTTAGCACGTGTTTAGTAGTAAACATGATTTATACTAATGTATTATACATAAGCATACGTCACAATAATATACTGTATAGCATGCTTGTAGCCCCAGCACGCACGAAACATTATGAAGCTCTTGTCTAGTAGCAAAGTTAAAAAGAAAATAGTAACATATCCATTGAAAAAAAAAACTTATAAATATGCTACATTATAAAACTCTAACAGACAAATTAAGTATAGAAAGTCCCCGTTCTTAAATTCTCGAGTCTTTGTATCCTTCCGGCAAACCACGAACACTAGAATAATAATTATTATAAAGCGTCTTTAGAGATCGTAAGTTATAAAAATTTGAAAATTGAATCTTTTGGTCGCTCGAAAATAAATGTATCATGAATACGAAGGAACGCGAACATCCCGGAGTTGAATCATGAGGACGTAAATCGAGTCCTAGTGTCCCTACCCTCGGTGGTTTTTATTCATGTTAACCCACGGTATCCTCTCCGAATCATCCCTATGAAAGAAGTACGCGATTTTTGCACTTTTCTCAAAAACAAACTGCATACATATACAACGCACGTCTTTATAGCTCGATTAAACCACGATAACCGGTCCGTATACAAGTATTACTCGGTCAGCATGAAAAAAAAAAAAAAAAAAAAAAATGGAAAAACGCTGTGATTAGGACAAGTAATTCAATAAATCCAATGAATTATATTATTAGGTCGCGAGAAACTGAATACAGATAATTATCGACTAATTCGTTTTGATTCATGGGGTAGATATGAATAAAGTTTGTGAACAGGTTCAACAAAACCGACCGATTTTGCTTGAGGTTTTTAAACTAATATTATATTAGTTGTTAGATAAAAACGTTAAACTAAAAGTTCAAGTTTCAGGTCTGGAAATGTTCGCAAAAAATGCTGAAGAGGTCTACGCGAACGGAGGAAATTACATCAAGATCGAGTGTTATCGAAAATTGTCGAAGAAAAAACGCAAAACAAATGTTCATGTCGTACTGATGTTTAAAATTTCCCAAAACGAATCGGTGACCATATACGAGAGCGTCATGCGAAGAGCTTTTGGGGAGCGCATCGAAATTCTGACCGCGAGGCGCGATACGAGAAGGAGTTTGGGACAAGAGTTTGGTCCACCACCGGACGAGATGTCGATCCGAGTCGGTCCCAGACGCGCGGTTGACGTCACGCGCACTGCACTCCGGTTCACCTTTCAGCGAAAACCACCCGCGTCCACCATATTGCTGCTACCCCGGTGGCTCGTGCACTCACCCCTTCGCCGTGCGACGACACGTCATCGCCATCGCCGTCCTCGTCGTTGTCGTCGTCGTCGTCGTCGTCGTGCGATTCCTCGTCCGCCGCGCGCCGTTTCTTCGCTTGTCCGCCACCGCCCGGCGACGAGGCCGCCGAGCCGGCCGACGACGCGGTGGCCGCCACGGCTGCGAGCCCTCCAGATGATATGCCGCCTCTGGCGGCCACCAAGGTCGTGTTACCGGCGGCCGCAATGCGCTGCTTGGACTGGATGGCCAGTTTCAGTTCCTCCTTGATGAGCAGGCTGGAACAGATGCTCTGCATGCGGGGCGGCGACACGGGTGAACACGTGGACCCGGAAGAGTCGTCGGAAGCGGTGGACACGCCGCAGCCGCCGCCGGAGAAGTGTTCGAACGGTCCCATCATGGACATGATGGAGTTGATCACGTCCGGCGTATTGGGCATCGGTCCGCAACCGTGCGCCAGTGGCTGCGATGGTTGCGCGGTCGCCGTGGCCGCGTGTTTGTCGCTGCCGCCGGCCGTCGGGTAGGACGTCATGACGACCGCGGGGCCGCGGCGCACAGTGGCCGCTCGGCCCCGGTTCGTCGGCACCGCCGGGGTAGTGATGGTGGCGGTGTTCACGGGCTCACGGCACCGGGTCAGCGTCGCTTTCGGGTCCTGTGAACACGTAACGCACATTTACTTTCGCGGTAAGCACCGAGCAACATTTTTTTTTCTCATTCGCTCATTCGTTCGTACGATTTTGCACGTATTGTTAACGATACGGTTCTAGGCGATTCGGTAAACATTTACTATATGCGTGTAGCTGTATGTAAGCTGAATACGACAAACCGATGCGTCCGATTACCACTTGTGGAACGGTGACATGGCTACTACGGGAGGGACATAAAGTTGAAATGAGAAAAGAACGGTTTATGGTCCGACGCGGGAGAGTGATAGCAACGGGTGGTGGATGAGAACAGGTAATGAAATAGAATCACTTTACCGCAAGCCGAGTATACCAGAGACGATAAAAGACTTATAAAAGACTTCAGTGTTCTGGACGTGCTTCGCTACGTGTGGTATTAAAACACGGAAGATTTGATAAGAAAATATGTCAACGCTTCGGGTGTAGGATCGAAAGGTACGAGCATCCGACGGAGATGACTGAAGGGATGGTTTGTCGATTCTATCGGCCGTATACCCGAAGAAAAAGAAGCCGTGTAGAGATGTAGTAATTATAATTAACGAAATCATTTAGTGACATTCGACACTAAGCGTATTAAAAGTTCGTTACAGTTAGTGGCGGCCAAAGCCGAGTTACGCGCGTGAACTTTATTTCCGTTCGGAAAATCCGACGATGACGCAAATGTTATGTTCGTACACAAACCCCGAGATCGGACGACGGGATAGTGAGTGAGAGCGAGAAAATGATGGGGCGGAGGTTAAGGGTAGAAAACAATGAACAGAAAAAACGGACTAGTGGAAAATCGCGCCTTCTTTCCCCGCGCGATCTTCGGGTCGATTGAAATTTACAACGCGTACCCCAAACAGCGCGAATCGTGTATAATTTACGATGTGTCAACGACAAATATTACCGTATTTTTCATGAGCCATGCGAGTTATTTGTCAGGCGAAAAGAAATATGTATAAGTACGGTTTATTTGTTTTACACCCGCACAAAGATACACAGATGAGTGAAAAATGTTGCGGACGGAGGGAGGGAAGGACCGGGGGACGTTTCCGGTCTTACGCATCGCGACTTTAACGTACCGCGTTCGAGGTGTCGATGTCCTATTCGGTACGAATTACGCCGTATGATGCATGAACCTTACAGCAATGAGCGGTAATGAGGTAAAAGACGAATGCCAAACGATTACGCGTATCGTCTCGTTCTTGTCATAGACCATGCGCGAAAATACCCGTGTACCATTGACAACAACAACGTTATTGTACAATTTCCGCGTGCGATGCTCAAGGGCGTATTTAACAGCTGCCGTGCGTACACGAACGATAGTAAGATTACATTGTTGCACTACGTAATATTCTTAAACGTACGTTGTTCTTTAATCGTTTTCCTCGCCCGCCGGATCCTTCGAGCCCGACGAGCTTCCGAATGGTCACGGAAATACCGGACTGCACGCGCGCGCCCGTGTTCCGGCGGTAAAACTAAACGAATTCGCATCGATAAACAGCGGTGTTGCGGTACCGTTTGAAATAACACCGTTAATGTAGCAGCGCTCGCGTGAAAAGCGCATTGTTTTGACGCACGTTTTACGGAAGACGCTCCGAGTGATGGGTGTACGCAATACGTAGTCTTCTTACGCGTTAAAAATGTACGACCGCGACCGCAGTACGTGTACACACGCGAACAGGTGCAATGCCAAGCATATGACCGATTCGTGTGTCCGGATCGCGTTTCATAAAACGGTTTCTCGCGCAACAAAATCAAATCCGCGCGATAACACGTGTTTTGTGAACCCCGTTTTTCGCCACGCCTTTCCGTCCGCGCTCGTACCATACTTACCGTATTACGGTACACCGGGCACGGATTTCGCGCGAAAATCGGACGCGACAGCCGTCGACGTGGAAACTATTGTTGAAAATCAAATCGGCGCTGCGCCGTCGCCAACAGACGCGATTCGGATGGCACTTCACATTTGATTTGGCCGCGCGACTATTTTTACGTGTTCTTTCACGCTCTGTTCGGGCGTCTTCGAAAGAACCGTCCACGCCGTCGTTTGACCATAGTGCCGTCCAACGAAATATATTTTATCGGTTCATTTGACGGGACCGACCTGTGAACGATTAGCTTTCCGGTCCCAAACTGTATTGTTGACGACTGTACACGCACGTATTTTTAAGCTCGCAAGTATATCGTACTATTTATACGAAAATCCGGCTCAATACAGAACCGTAAGCTTGTGACAGTTTATGGACTAATAGCGGGATTGAAAAATTAAAAATCGTTCTTTTGTCACGGTCGACGGGGACTGATTTCAAGTAATCCAACCAACCATAAAACTCGTTAAAAACGTATCATAATTTTTTTTTTTTTTGGTAAAAAACTACTTTTAACATGCGGGAGCCAAATCGTTTAACTCATCGGTATTCATTACGACGTGTTCACGTGTAAACGGTGGACCCGCGTCACGAATAAGATAGACCACAGGTTCCCAAAGTGGTCTATATCGACCCTCTGAGGTCGATTCTAACCTATAAAGTGTCTACGTCAGCGAAAAAGAAAATTGGGGGGTGCATCATGTGTAAATAGGGGTTCAAAAAAAAAAAAATGTCACAAAATTTTGGAGCTTACAGGCTACATACTTTCGGCCGCCGACTCGGCTACTGCGCGGATACACTAGTAGATTTGACCAACGCACAACCCTATGTGTATTTGACTGCGATTGTCGCGGTAGAGTTGAAAACGTGGTTTAGATAATCAGCGGGTACCGTTGCGCGGTGGTCGCCCGAGGAAAAGTTCGGGGACCACTAACGTGGTGCCGTGCGAACGATTGTCGACACGGGCCGCTGCTGCGACGACCGCGGTGTATGCTCGCGTAAAACCGTACGTGCGCGTGGGCCCGAAATTCGATCGCGGATAAACGCTGACGTACGGATCGGCGGGCGATAAGACGGTTTCGACAACAACGTGTTGCGCGTCGACGGTGAGACAACAACATCGGGTACGACGACCGCGTGCAAATGCGTGTTCGCGGTCCACGCGTGCCGCAGCACGGTTGCAGCGGTTTTGTTAGCAGAAGCGTACAGAAGTATTTCGAGAGCACGTGCGACTAAAAAAAAAGTTTACCATCCGCCAGCCTGTTTTTTTTTTTTTTTTTTTTAAAAAAAAACGTTCGTTTGAATTGTTGTCTGTGACTGTGATCATCTCTTGAATTAACTATAAGTTTAAGGGATCATGATTTATTATAATTAATTAAAACCAAGACGTCCGCACCCAGTGCCGTACAGGTATAATGTTTGTGTTATAATAATACTGTTATTTGCTTAGCACACTCCATTATGTTTGGTATCCGAGTAGTCCAATTATAAGCCCGCCGACCCGCCCGTACACCCATCTCCGACGATAGCACATGCGATTGCGCCCCTCGGTAACCCGTCTGGACGGTCGACGGTTTTGTTAGCAAACCGACGAAAACAAATTTTCAATCGCTGCGCACGAGAAACCGGTAAAACGGCATACACGTAGCACGACAATGACGCCGTCAACACGGCCGCGGTGCGGTGAAATTCGACGTTGCCCTACTGCCGGTGCTTCGTCTAAGTTTCACGATCGGTTAACTTACGTACACGGTTTACGTTTAAAAAACGACCGCGGGTCGTTAGTGCTACGCGACAATCGGACCGGCGTGTTTGACATTCCGGTGGATTACGATATTCGGACGCGTGGCGCAACCAGCATTGGTTATCGGATGGGAGGGGGGAGGGTAGTGAATTTGGAAAAAATAAACATTTCCTGCAGGTGTGTTTTGGTAGGGATAAGATCAATTTAGGCTTATGAGTAAAAATATTTAAATTACAAATCAAACCGTTTCACTTTTGTTTCATATTGTGATACCGCAAAAAAAACGTGTTACACATCCGACTATCGAGCGATCGTAGTACCAAGGTTATCGATGTTTTAAAGTTGAACGGAACGTTACAATACGTTCCATAATGTTATGTTATTATTGTTATCAATTACAATACGAATAACATTCATATTTCATATCAATCGGCCGTTTCGCGTCTTCAAGATAAACCATTTTTTTTTTCCTACGTAAAATTTGTAAAAACAGCAAAAAATTTCGGGGGGGAGGTCACAACCCTCAAACCCCACCCCTAGTTGCGCCACCACGTACACGTATTACGTTGTCGAGTTATAAAACAGTACCAGAAAACGTTGTATAAAACGTTAGTAAATTATAATCTGCACTCGGCGCACGATGCGAATTTGTCGAAACAAAAATTGACGTAGATTTAACACGAATAACACATTCCCGTATTCGTAATCACGCGAGTTTTATTTCATCGTTATCGCCGAGTAATATCGATGAATTACGATTGACGTTGTACAGCGATCGGTACGAATTTTATTAGTTCCGACCACAGTCGTGTTTACCCGTACAAAAGCTCGGTGCGTACGAGATCAGAAATAACGAAATGTTTCCGAAACTTTTACACTCCGTGGTTACACATTGGTTACCACGAAATTGTTCTGCCCCACGGAACCGGCGGCGCAGTTTTCAACATAAATTTTCCGAATCCCTGCCGCGACTTGTATGTTCCGAACGCGGTCGACTTTGCTGCCGGCGCAGTGCACTATTACTATACCGGATCGACAGACGGCGGGTAAATGGTCCATCGACCGCCCGTTAGTCATCACCTCCCGTGAACGCTGACAGCGGAAAAACGTGTACCAATGTTGCCGACCGCCGCGAACGCGTAATTGTTCGTCGCGAGCACGCGCATAGATACGACGGGTACGTTCGCAACATGTAGTGCAGTGCGTACGGTCAATGTGCAACAGCAGCAGCATTAGTAGTAGCGGAATCGATTACAAATACTAGTATTGATTATAAAATCAATGGTAGCAGTAATAGTGTACTCGCGGATAGAATAATATATATATATAAAAACGCCGTCGAACATCCTCCGTCCTGCCACCAACACAACGC